CACTAGCTTATACTCAAATCAATAAAGGACTGTGTTATCATAAAAATGTAGGACCACAATGGAATTGTGCGTAAAAAAAATATATAGGTCAAGCGATGAGAGAATCAGTACCTATTCAAGCTTTCACAATGTAGAGAGAAGAGCAGATGCATTAGAACAAATTGAGCGCTTTTCTGCATATAAAACTTGAACTGTGCAAATGAATTCAAAAAAATATATATATATTTTCTGGCATTTTCCCAATATTTAATTGCATTCCCTCCTTTAATTAAAATATTCAAATAAAGGCAATGAGAGCCTATCTCGTTAAAAATTACTCTAGCACCTAGAGTTCCCTATCCGTAGCTTCAGATTCAATACAAAAAAAAAAAGCTGGAATAGAGATGCATAGAGTAAAATAAAAAACCCAAAAACAAGACTTAGATCTAAGAATAACGAAATCCAAGAAAAGAACAAAATAAAAAAAAATCAAAGGGAAAATCAACCGCACACATAAATTTCAAAACTACGAATTCCGAACAAATCTCTATCACGATCTATCAAATATTTGAACCCTAATAGACCAAATGAAGCATTGTCAATTTGCAGGGGAAAAAAAACAGAGCAAAAGACAAACACCTTACCTATGAATAAAAATAATACATGTACTTGGAAGAGGACCTGACAAGGCTGGAATGCGGGGAAATCGCAAGAATCAGGCAAATGTCGCTGACCGGAGCAATTTCTTTAACAAGAAAATAAAAGCAGGAATAACCCAGGTTCTCTTCCACTACCCAAAAATGGCCATCATTGGATTTTCCATCCGTAATAAATGAGGTAAGTTTCAATTGTAAGAATCTGTAGGGGCTAAACGCTCTGTATGCCATTTGAATTCAAGGACAAAATTGGATTTAAGGTATGAATTAGTGATAAAATAGGAAAATAAAAGTTTTTTTATCTTTACACACTTTTATCTTTAATTAACAAGAATACAAAAACAGGAATAACCCAGGTTCTCTTCGACTACCCAGGAATGGTCATCATTGGAATTTTTACTCTTAATAATGAAGGTAAGTGTCAATTGTAAGAATCTGTAGGGTCTAAACGCTATGTATGCCATTTGAATTCAAGGACAAGATTGGATTTAAGGTATGAATTAGTGATAAAATAAGAAAATAAAAGTTTTTTATCTTTACACACTTTTATATGTTGTATAGATGTAGAGATAGATATAAATATAGATGCATAGATGTATAGATATAGATAAAGATTGAATAGTATTATTTGATTCAAACTATGAATGTTACCCATATTAAATTACAGACGCATCGCCTGTGCCCTGGAAACTAGTAATACAAATTTATACTATTAAATAAGGAAAAGGTGAGTTTTGATGTCAACTCATAACATGATTATAATACCCGTTATGGGTGTGTTTCGTTAAGCATTAGGAAGGATTAGATTAGACAAACCCGTCTATTCCATCCACATTCATCTGGCACTTGAACTAATTATAGTGATAATATCTCTTTATCCCATATCTGGATCAAGTATTAAGACGTAGTGGACTTCACATGTATTTCATCTAAAACTTTATTTTGATGGAATATTTAATGATAGTATAAATATTAAATTACTAAAGAACCCCATAGATAAAGAGTAATATTTATATCCTATAGATTATTAAAGGTAAAAATATCTTTTACTTAAATACATCCCAATCGAATTATTTAAACCCGCCAAAAAAGATGGATTTATTTAAGAGACTGTAGGTGGTATTAAATATGATATTCATTCAAGTTGATATTATTTTTAGGTAATAATACAGAGTTCAAAATATGTATCCAAATATGAGTATAAGAAGAATAAAGTAGACCCAATATTATTTTTTTCAATCCACCTTTCCTAACAACTTAAGCAAACATGCCCATACTTTTGTCTATGCTATAATAACCACTCTTTATACTTAAATACCTACTCATAAAATATTACTTTAACCCCTCATCTTTATTTTAATTACCATTTACAATTTATACTACTTATAAATGTCAGCATGTGTGAAAATTTTTTGATTTCCTATTTCACCCTTAATTATTACCATAAAATCAATTATACCCACATATTTTCCAGTCTTACATACCTATTTGACTTCCAAAATATTAGGTAATAAACTTTATTAAAATATTACCTAGATAAATTTCATCAAAATATTAGGTACAAAAACTTTATCTCTATGAGTTGGTAGATAAACTTTATCTCTAAATTCTTTCTTTTGCATTTAATTCTACAAACTCTACTAGAATTCTAATACCATATATTTGTAATTTTTAGGTCCTATTTGACTTTCAAAATATTGTGTAGATAAACTTTATCTTTATCTTGGTAGATAAACTTTATCTCTAAATTTTTTCTTTTTCATTCAATTCTACAAACTCTATTAGAATTCGAATACCATATATTGATAATTTTTAGATGATAAACACAACCATTCATATATAGGTCTATTGCTTGGTGAGGGGGACTTGGATTTCATCTTGATGCTCGGTGGTCTTTTGATTTCGCGGCTGGTGGATTCGAGTTTATCTCACAAGAATGCTTTGCAAAGGCGTATTGAGCATGCAAAACTTTGGCTTTTGAAGTCTGATCAGCCCGTTGAAGCAAATTTAGCCATTACTTGTATGAATTAGTTCTTTCAATTTGCAAATTTGGGGATTCCTTATGTTCTTTAATTGATGATTTATTTTATAGATTTTGGGTTGAGAAATCTTGAAAGATTTTCAAGCTAGCTGCAAAAAAAAGAACTGGAAGTGCTTGTCCAGTTAATTTCAGTGCGAAAACCAAGAATTAATGCAAAGGTCAATGTATCAATTACTATTACCTTTAATATTATATCATATCTTTGTTTTGAAGTATTTTGTATGGTTTTTTGCACATTCAACTATTTTTTGGTATTATGTTTCTAAATCATTGTTTGATTATTATTTACATGAAAAAATATATTTTTAATGAATTGGAGTATTATTGAACCAATACTGTACAAATCAAGTTTTTACTGAATTGATAGTTTATCAATTCCTATGTTATGCGACACTTAATTATTTTTAATTTAATGTCAAGCAACTTTCTAAGAGATTAGCTTGACAGGTCAAGTATTCGACATAATTGAGATTATTTTATTAATTCTTATATTTTAGTTTATTAAATTGGTGTCATATGTCGAATATTCGGCATAATTGAAGTTAATTTATTAATTCTTATGTTTTAGTTTATTAATTCTTATGTTTACGTTAAAACTTTCTATGTTGGTGTTTCTTTATTTTATTACAACGGGATAAAATATAAATTGTCATATGATTTGTAATCGTCACATTCTTCTAATCTTGCTCTATATATTCTCAAATTGACAAAAAAGTTTGATAGCAATCCCAGGTCCACATGTGTTTTTCTCAATTTTTTTTTGGTTTCACTGGTGTTATTTTTGTTGTTATTTACTCCATAAAACAGATGAAATTACACCTTATGCAATTATTTATTTCATAAAATTAATTCAAAGTTTTTATATATATAATGACATGTATTTTTTCATTTGCTTCTTAATTTGTAAATAACGCTTAATATAAATAAAAAATAGTACATTGACTATAAAATACCAAATAATATTTAATACGAAATGAACTTTAAATTGTAAATTAATATATAATTTTATTAAAAATTGACATTTAATATTTTTCAATTTATATTAAACTTTGTCAAATTAATATCAAATTAATTTTTATTGTTATCAAATTAATATAGAAATTCATTTAATCAATTTTTTGGAGTACTAGATTATATCAATTTTTTTCAATTTATATTAAAATTTTTTGAATTAATATCAAATTAATTTTTATTGTTACCAAATTAATATAATATTCATTTAATCAATATTTTGGAGTACTAAATTATATCAATTTGTTGGGTACTAAATCAAATTTTATTTGATTTTATTAAAATTTTAATTTTTTTGGTACTAAATTTGGAGAGGTAAATTTTAAAAATAATAAAATTTGTTGGGATGAAATTATCAATTTCTGTTAGCAATATGGATGGAAGAGAGATAAGAAAGTCCCGTGCAATAAATTCAAACCTTAGGGGGTCTCCGTATTATTTATAAAATATCAGGAGGTGTCCGTATAATATTACCAAAACTCAGGAGATGTCCATGACTTTTATCTCTTTTTTAATTAAACATTAATTTATTATTGTTTTATCTTAAAAAATTGAGTAGTTATTGGTTAGAAAGATTTGTTGGTAACCAAAAAAGAAATGTGTGTGGATGTGTTTGTGTGTATATTTATATGTGGAGGATTGAACATTTGATGATTAAATTTATAATTATATTATATCATTTGAGGTTGAATGGTGATAGTAATAATAAATTCATAAGTTTTATAAATGAGTAAGATTTAGTTAATTTTATTTATTACTTAAAGATTGTAAATTTAATTATAATCTATTAGTATTTTTTTTTTGCTTGAGGTATTTATTATATGGGAATATGATGAATTGAAAATATGGTGGTTGAGTTTATAATTATGTTGTGTTATTGGATTGAGTGGTAATAGATGTGATAAAATTCATGAGTCATATAAATAAGCAAGATTTTATTTATTACTTAAAGATTATAAATTTTAATGGGTTATGTTAGTATTTTTTTTAAGAGGTATTTGTATATATGACGTTATTTTAGGGAGTTTTTATATATTTTTATGACAATTTCATTAGTATGAATGTTATGATAGATGATATATTTCGAACTATTTTAAAGGAAGAATTTATATAAATATTTTTAGGCTATTCATTTTAAATTTTGACAATTATTTAAGATAAATGACTAGTTTACCATTATTTAACCAAACTAAACTTATTTATTCCAATTCAAGTCTTTCGATTGCTACCCATATTTGCATTCGGGTCCTGGTCCTGCCCCACTAGTCACGAATTTAAAGCATAGAATGAGAGGGATGAGAGATAGATTCAGGGCTACAAAACTGATTGATCCCGTCTGTCAGGGGTGTGTGTTTACTTCACAAGATGTCCTTAAGGTCATCCCCATCTCTCTCCAACCCAAGCATTTACTTGGCAAACCCTAACCCTAAACCAAGCAACCCTCTTATCCCCACCCACGACCCCCAACTCACCCGTCTCCGCATTCCCAGACTCTCCTTGAGGGTCTCAATCATCTCCGACGGCCGGAATTCGTGTTCACTCTCCTCCGAGGCACAGCCGCACACCCTTAAACTTACTCCATACTTGGTTTACCATCTTGTCACCCCCACAGTGTTTTTCTTCAGCCTCGGCATTTGTGCCTTCTCGGCCGCTGCCACCACACAGATTTCTCCGGTCAATGTTGTGAATTGTGAGACAGTGATTGAAGAGAAGAGTGCTCCAGGTAGCTTTAATGGCGCCTTGTATTTAGGAGTGTTTATGTATGCATATGTATGTATTTACGGTGAATTACTTGTTAATTTAATACTTACAAGAAGTTGAAGATTAATAAAACCCATCATGACTATGAGGTGGGTTTATCAAACTTTGTTCATTTTATGCAAAAGTAGTCACAATTTATTTAATACCGTGTTTGTTTGCTTGTTTCTTTGTTTAGAACTTGTGCCCATGTGTTTGCGGGTTTTCACTGAATTGTTTAGCTAAGAATAGCAGTTTTTGCTCTTTATACAATCATTGCTCTTTGAGGTTTTTTCACACTCAGAACTTGGTGTCTTTACTTGGATTTTGTGATTTTGTACAAGGACACAATTACACAATCCCTTGTATATGAGGTTTTTTTGTCAAATCTGTTTGTGGTGCCCAGTAAGGTGGAGCACCAGTTACAGATTTGAGTTTTAGGCAGTAATAGCATTTGTAAACAGGGGTATGCTCCTCTGCTTTTGTAAAAATTTGATGATCAATTCAACATTTATTTTCCGGAATGTTTCACATCTCACAAAATAGACTCGTATTTTAAATTCACATACGTGTAAGAATAAGATTTTGGTAGAACTACTGTTCTATCCAGGGGTAAAATGTCATCTGTAAACATCTTGACACCTAATGGTTGAATCACCTTCCTTACTGCTATACATAGAAAGAAAGTGATAAAGCAGTAGTGTATGAAATGGGAGTCACTAAGAATGACTTGATTTGGACAACTCAGAATCATTATTGTGAATACGAAGTGTTGGCCATTTTATGGGACTATGGATTATTTTCCAGTTAAAAAGTTTTTAAATTTCCAGAAAAGGTACTTATAGACGTGCATGTGGTTTTACAGGATAGGGCGAATTTCTTTTTTTCCCCTGCTCTGCACATAACCTCCCTTACCTTTTAAGATAAACCCATCACCCCTATGTGGGATATTGAGCAAAGTTCACCTTTGTAACTTCCATCCAATTTAACTGTTTGTGTGAGCCACATGCCAACAGTGAGGATTGGTACGAAAAAACTTTGTATGAAGACTATACCACCCTTAAATAGTCTCAATGTCTTCTTTCGCTGTCTCTCTCCCCCCTCCAATGGTAACACTCCTTCCAGCCAAGTCAGTCTTGCTGTCCTCTCTCATCTTTCTCTCATATCTCTCGCGTTCTCACTACTACATGTTTCTCGCGCTCTCTCTCCCATTGTTTCGTTCGTTCTGTGCTCACAATCAAACTCATAATCCATCCTAATTTCAGGACAACCATCATTGCCATAACCAAACTACCTGGCATCAAATCCATATTGCAAAAATGTCCGAAGGCCTATATTTGTCCGTCCATGATATCCTGAGAATAGCAAGGATTCTTGAGGATTCGGAGGTAGAAGTAGCTCGTCAGTTTGTAGTTTTAGTTTTGGCCTATATCCAGCTTGTCTGTTCACCAATTGTACTCCAATGGTCTCTCTCTTTTGAAGTTAATATTTTTTTTAATTGCTTAAATGTATGGGAATCACTGAAGATTTTGTGCCCGAATTGTTGTGTTCTTGAAACCAGAATCATCTGGCACAATGGAAATCCATGTGATTTGTTCTTCCTATGAGTTACATAATTTTGGTTGCTTGAATTGTTTGCATCACTAAATCTTGAGGTGAAGCCTATTTGTTTGGGCTTTGTAATTGTCACACCGTAATTTTTTTTATAATAATCTGGCGTGATTAACGAATAAACCATCCCTAACATATAATAATTTTTTTTTTATAATATTAGACCATAATTGAAACATGTCATGAATAAAGTTACAATCCTGAGATTAAATATAACATAATGAAAGTTAACGAAGTTCGATTCTAGATATATGATAATAAAATTCTAGCTGCACAATCTCCTCAACTTGCTCTATCAACTTCAATCCTGTATCTGAAATATATAGAATAGGTTTGAGCTCACTTGCTCAATTGGATAACTTTCTCAATGATTTTCAAGGCTTTAAAACAATATAAATATAACTAAATAACAATTAAGTTCAACAATATGTCAAATTAAAATATAATTTGGACACTTTGGATATTTAATATGATATTTTTATTTCAACATGAATTATGACCAATATTATAGTCATTTGACTTGTTTTCAAGGTAATTATCTTGAGGTCTATTTGTTTATTTGAATTTTCTAAAAATAACTTCGATATTATCCTTTTGATCACATAAAATTATAGTTAGGTGTCTAATTGACGTATTAGCAACTAATTTCACGCGGGTTATTACAGTAATTCCCATTTTTGGTGGGATTTCATGGATTTTGGTGGCATTTTTGGTTTTGCCAGAGTTGATGGGTGGGGGTCTGGCAGAGAAGAAAAGAGTGAGGAGAAAAGAAGCCCATTTGCCCTTACCGCAAACCATATGAGGTTAGTTGGCTTTGTTGAATGCGAGAGGGGCCTAACCATAGGCAATAAAATGAAGTGTTTCCGGAGTGAACCGAGATTAAAAAATAAAAAATGTTACTGCTGAAAGAAACACTTTTTTTTTTTTGGTGTTATGGAAGGTCTTTTAATGCAAAACAAACAGTTTCATATTTTTTCATCAAGGACTAGAAAAGTAACTTTAACAGGTTTTAAAAATGGTACCTTAGCTACTTACTTAAAAGAAGTGGGAGGTTACATGGGACCCATAAGGCTATGCAAACTTATTTGGGCTTATCAAAGTTTTTTCTTTTCTAGAACTTTGAGATTTGAACTTTGTTTTGGTACATTTTATTATGATTCCGTAATCCACCTTTCTTTGTTTTTTGGATGTTTGGGGTTTGAATTGGATTTGGTTTGGCATTGTCATGGATGTTTTTTGTTATCTTTGAGGAAGGTTTTATAGAAGAGCTTATTTGGTGTGATTTTTCAATGTTTTCTGAACACAGAAAATGTTGATGTGGGAAAATCTGAAAATGTGGAGAGCATTGAAGATAAAGAAATGATAGCAGAATTCGAGAAGTGGAAGTCTAAAACATATGCTTTAACTGTTCCCCTGAGAATCGTTGCACTGCGAGGCTCAGTACCTCCTCTGTGGGTTAAGGTCTACTCTGTAGCTAGTTTTGCATATGTATTCCTTTCGACATTGAGACTTGGTTTTGCCCTTTCTTGGACATGAAAGAAGAAATAAATTTTGCTTATCAGGGAAAAACGAAACTTTCTGAAAAGCTATTTTACTCGTTTTGGATATCAAAATCTTGATTGACAAAATGAGTGTATGGTGGTTTAGCATCGTGATACTTAAGTTTTTTCATAAATGTTAGTGCTTCGGGCAAAATGAATCAATTGCAGGAGCAGCATAGTAGTAATCACAATATTGATAGGTTATTATTGTGATTGTTGTCGTTAACATTGTAGTTGTCATGGTTGTTACTATTAGTAAATGGCTAATTTTTTTTGATTATGTTATTTGTTATGACATAGGATTTTACTCGATCTCAAGGAAGGAGAGCAAGGTTACGTCCAGAGTTTCGTGGAAGTCTTGAGGACATCTTTTCTGAACTCTGTAAGAAAGGGAATATTAACTGGAGATCTGCTCTGGCAGCTGATATCATTACTCTTGGTGATTCCTGGCTCAATTTTGCCATTAGCAAGTCTCTAATTGAGCCCATACCAGGGGTAGAAAACCAAGATTGGTTTAGAGACTTGAGTGACAAGTGGAAGGTAAGGAATAAGGATGTAAGTGTCTATTTCTTGATATTTGCTTAAGGTATTCAATGGTTTTTGCTTTGACAAATCTATAGATACACTTGTTAGGAAAATTTTAAATTAGCCTAGACTTTGGAATTTGTCCATTGAAACTCAGCTAAAAATGGCCTTACCCCATTACATGGGGTTGGCAATCCTGTTTTTATTAAGTGGCATTTATCATTTTAAGTCATTGATTATCATGTTATTTTTCATATTTCATTTCTTTTCGATTGTCTTCGTGATGCTTTGGCAAGGATCACAATTCATATGAGCGATGAACTCATTTCATTTTGTATTTCAGAGCTATATTAATTGTCTTTTTCTGTCCTGCTTCCAACAAACTTGCATGAGGACCGTCGGCGACCCATGATATGGGTCGGGCGACCCCAAACGGGTTACATTCGCATCCCAGAGCGGTAAAAGTAGCGTTTCCAAATTTTAGCCCTAACTACAAATTATCCACCCCAAATCGATATCTCGAATCCACTTTTAATCCAAAAATGTTCCAAAATTCAGAAAAACATAACAGACAAGGAACATAAAATAAATGTATAAAGATGGTGGATGAATACATAGCGAGAGATTTCATGCGAGAGGAAGAAGGTGTTGATTTTACACCACCATCGTTGCAAGCAAATCGAAGATCTTCGTTAATGGAATCTCCATCACTCTTCGATTTTTTAGATCTGCATTGACAGAAACTCCATAACTATTCAACTTTTCAGATCTCCTTTGTAGGGAAAGAAAACGAAGGGGTAGAAGCGATGTTCTGTGTTTTTTCAGATCTCCTTCATTTATAAGAGATCTGGAAAACCACATATCTTTTTGACCGGAAAGAAAGGCTCTAGAGCCTTTTATGATTTGTAAAAGACTTTACAATCCACACCAAAAAAATAACGTGGAAGGCTCGAAGTCCAGGGAAAATAAACAATTAAAATAAATTCTTTAAAGTTAAAGCTGGCTCTTGTCCATTAGCCGAATTAATAGTCAGGAGAAAGAAACATGTGATTATTTGGTTCTCGATTCTCTTTGATTCTCTTAAAATAATTAAGTATGTTTGTATGTATATAATTAAAATAATATTGAAAATTATCACATTTTTATAAATATTGACTCACCATGGGTGAATAGATGCATACTTCTATATAATTTTTTACAATAATAAAAACAAACCAAATAAGATTTCAAAACGAATTGTGCCCCAAATTTGCATATTGACTAAGCCTATCCCTATTGTATTGCATACCATAGAAAAGAACATACCCTGTACTATGTACCAAAGTGATCCATGACGGAGGAAATACTAGTCGAGGGTGTAGTTTTGGTAGTCCTTTGCTCACTCCTAGGATGAAACCAAAAATCTAGAAAATCTTGATTCCACACATATACATTGTAAAAACAATATATAGCTATAAGCTTGTTCTGTGATCTAGGTCCCCATTTTTATGGATGAGATAAATTTTGATAGGGTTGGCTTCGACGGAGTTAGAGGGCACATATCCGACCTTCGACTCTAACTATAGTCGGAGTGGATTTTGCCTTTTGCCTCCGCTCCAAATTACTATAACTCCGCCTTGTTGGAGGAGTGGAGTTTCGGAGTTGGACTAGATTTGGGCTGTGAAATTCTTTTAAAAAAAAAATCAATACCCACCCACAAATAGATCACCAAGCAAAGAAACAAAGGAAAGTAACCCACAAAACAAAATCAGAATTTTTTTAGAAAATCAGGGGAGAGAAATGTGCATAACTTGAGATAGAGGCGGAGGTTCGAGGAGAGATGTCTAGAAAATTAGATTTGTGAAGTAAGGGTTCAAAGTTTGGGGATTTACGGGCCAATGGTCCTTGAATCTTCTCATGCGTCTTCATATCCTGATATTAAGAAGGATGTGATGAAGAATTTTAGGGAAAATCACAAAAATAGAATAAATGAAAACCTCCATAAAGGCTTGATATTTAACTCGCACATCTTTTTAATTGTTCTTCAGACTTGATGCATGCTGGTAATGGTTGAGGACATAGTTGTCAAATCGTGTATCGGAAGGTGTATCGTTTTTTAAAAATAGTGTATCGTATCGTGTATCGTAAGATACAGTGTAATTTTAAATATAAAATATATGTTTACAAACTTTAGGGTATTTAGATGTAATTTATTAACGGATATATTTATAGTAGAGTCTAAGTATTAAGTGTGTATAAATTTTAGGGATGTAATATTTCAAATGTTAAGGGGTCTAAGTGATTAAGTAAAAAATCTCAAGGGGTCTAAGTATAATTATCCCTATTTTAAAACATAATGACCAAGAGGAGAGTGCCTGAAAAAAAAAAAGACGATACAAAAAACAAAACAGAGAGAAGAGAGAGAGGGAAAGATTGTCGTCGTCAAGAACAGAGGAACATCCTTTGATGGCTTCGTCGTCGTCAAGAACAGAGAGAAGAGAGAAGGGCTAGGGTTCTTCACCACAATGGAGACTTGGGCTACTGTGATCGTCGTCGAAGGCTGCTGTGATCATTGTCGTGAAGTCTGAAGAACACCCAGGAGTTGAAGATAGCAACCAACGAAGAATGGAGAGGAAAAGAGGTATTTTATTTTTTTTGTAAATCTTAGCCACTAAAACGACGTCGTTTCAATGGTTATATGGATAAAAAAATCACTCTTAGCACAAAATGACATCGTTCCTTAAAAAAAAAAGAAGCTTTTACACATCGTTTGTATCATAAAAACGTATCGTGTATCGGACGATATAACGCAAAAACGATACAAAACTACCATTCGTATTGTAACGTATTGTACGTTACTAACAACTATGGTTGAGGATGGTGTCACATCATCTTTTGACACTGGATCTCACTCGAATTATCTTTTTTAGTTACTGAAGAATGTTAGGATATTTTAATTAAGGGTATAATTGTAATTTGTAGCTTATTATGAAATTAATATAAATATGGGTGATAAGAGGATATTGGTGATATCTGAGTATCCTTGCATCTAATTTTCTTATGTACAACACTTTAAGATTTCAACTTGGTATCAAAGTGATCTATTGGAATTTTTGAGGTCATAGAAATACTTAGGAGGCTTTGAAGCGGCTGAAGTTGTCGCCGAAAAGATGACGTCGTTGCCGGAAAGATAACATCATCGCCGGAAAGATGACGTCATCACCAGAATGTAGTCAAAACAAACCAAACTCATCATGGGCCAGCTTAGTTTTCTCATTTGAGTATGACGATGATTTTTTTTGAATTGTTTTTCAAATTTTGAATTTTTTGGACCATATTATATGATCTACGATTTGGCTGAGATCGGGACCATTTTACCCACTTTGGTACCATTGGTGATGTCAACTAGGGTCCATAAACACTCCTGGTGAGTTTCGTGTATGGATGTTTTCTGGGCAATTTTGGGTCTTGGCAGTTTTTGGGTTTCAACAGTGTGTTTTTGGCCTTTGTGACTCCGTCAGTGAGTTTTCTGGACTTCTGTGACTCCGACAGTGAATTTTCTAGCCTTTGTGACTCCAGCAGTGAGTTTTTGACCTTTTGGAACTCCGACAGTGAGTTTTCTGGGCTTCTGTGACTCAAGCAGTGAATATTTTTTGCCTTATGGGACTTGGCCAGTAAGCTTGTTGCTACTGTGACTTCGGTAGTAAGCCCTTTCTTTGGCCTTTGTGATAATCTGTCCTTTATCTCTATTTCTTTAAGGCTTTGTGGTGTCACAAACATAGTTATCAAATCGTGTATCGGAAGACGTATCGTTTTTTAAAAATAGTGTATCGTATCGTGTATCGTTAGATATGGTGTAATTTTAAATAATTAATAATAAAATATATGTTTACAAATTTTAGGGTGTTTAGATGTAATTTATTAATGGATATATTTACAGTAGGGGTCTAAGTGTTACGTGTGTATAAATTTTAGGAGGTCTTTGTATAATATTTCAAATGTTAGGGGGTCTGTGTATAATATTTCAAATATTAGGGGGTCTAAATGATTAAGTAACAAATCTTAAGGGGTCTAAGTGCAATTTTTCCTATAACATAACAGAGACTGCCTGCCTCCTTGCCTGATCAGAAAAGAAAAAAAAAAAGACGAGAGACTGAGAGAGAGGGAAAGATCGCGACTGAAGAATACCCAGTCGAACACCGCGCCGAAGGCTGAAGAGCACCCAGGACCAGAGTTGAAGACGAGCGAACACCCAAGACTAGGAGGAGTCACTGAAGGCTGAAGAACTCCCGGACTAGAGTCGAAGACCAGCAATGGCAGTGAACACTCCGAGCCGAAGACCAACCAACCAACAAAGAAGGTAAAGAGGGATTTTATTTTTTTTTTGTAAACCCTAGCCACTGAAACGGGATAAAAAAATCAGTCTCTTAGTACAAAAAAACATCATTTCATAAAAAAAATTAAAAAAAAAAAACAGTCTTTGCACGTATCATGCGTATCGTACCGATACATATCATATCGTAAAAACGTATTGTGTATCGGACGATACAATGCAAAAACGATATAGAACTATGATCCGTATCGTTTTACTCCTGTATCGTGACGTATTATACGATGCGCGATACATATCGTACGATATTAACAACTATGATCACAAGTAGTTTATTTTTTATTCTCTTTGTGCTGGTTAACCTCAATTTGCTGTTTAGAGGTTTGTCTTGTGGTGCAAAAGGCTTTCTGTTGCTGAATAAATATATCAGGAGGTAGTACGGAATCTACCGGCACTTAGAAAAATGGGTTGAGTCGAGTAAGGACTCTTGAATGTAACCCTTCTCTCCAGATCAGTCCAGTGAAATTGCATATCAGTAATTATTTGGCTTGGTCATGTCTGTTCATTCAGTGGATTTCAGAGAACTCGTTGGTAATTACATGGTGACTCAACTCAATGTAGACACACATCAATTATGGTTTCCTATTTCTTGAGACAGCCTTTGAGATTTGGTTAGCTGCATCTCAGACCTATTCACATGTTGGGAATGATGCCTAGGCTTATGAGCTTCAGAAGAAGATTCTTGAAACCA